TATTTCATTTCTTAGAATATAGCTGATCATGGACTAAAGTAGACCAAAAGTCTAGAGGAAGGAAGAGGCCAATGTGTTTCAGAAGTAGCAGCGGTTAGATGTTGATACATAAAGAATCCTTTCCCTTTACCAAATAGTTGATTCTGTTTAGATCTCAGTATCTTTCCTAAGTCTGATTATTTCATTTGGTAACTAGAGTGTTTTTCTATAGATGAAATTATTTAAAGTTTTCTTTATTTTCACTGAACTATCTCTTCACCACTTTTTTGGGGGGCCAGTTTTGCTATTGTTTGTAATGGCAGCATTTAAAACTTTTCATTGTTTCCCATTGGTTACTGGATTAAATAGATTAATGAACAAGTCCTTTTCTTTTCTGCAATGTAGTATTATAAGACCACAAAAGCTTTGTAAGCATTGTGATTTTTTTTTTTTTTTATGCTGGTCCTGGGGCTTGAACTCAGTGCCTGGTGCTATTCCTGAGTTTTTTTTTTTTTTTTTGCCAGTCATGGGGCCTGAGATCTGGGCCTGGGCGTTGTCCCTCAGCTCTTCAGCTCAAGGCTAGCACTCTACCACTTGAGCCACAGCGCCACTTCTGGCTTTTTCTGCTTATGTGGTGCTGAGGAATCGAACCCAGGGCCTCATGCATGCAAGGCAAGCACTCTACCACTGAGCCACCTTCCCAGCCCCTATTCCTGAGTTTTTTTGCTTAAGGTTAGCATTCTACCACTTGAGCCACAGCTCCACTTCCAGCCTTTTTTTCTTTTTTGGGATTAATTGGAGTTATGAATCTCAGTGACTTTGCTACCTGGGCTGGCTTCATACGCTGATATTCATATCTCAGCCTGCTGAGTAGCTAGGATTATAGGCATGAGCTACTGGTGCCTGGCATACATTGGTGATTTTTAAGTGTGGTTATTGAACAACCTGAAACAGGTGTTCTCTTTCTCCTAAAGACATTAGCCCTCTTTCCTGCCTGTTGTATAAGATCCAACTTCAAGATCCACCCCTACAAAACTTTCCCTTCATCTCTAGGACAGAATTTTTATTATGTTTCCCAGTATTTTCTATACTTAGCACACATTTCCATGATAACAGTTTATCTACTGCTCCAGTAGACGGTGTATTCCCCAAGGCAAGGATCCTACCTTACTCATCTCAGTGTCTCTAGGCTTTAGAGTGCTTAGAATACAGAAGGCATATTTGGTTTCATTGATGTGAATTAAATTTAAGAAAAAGTTCTCTCTCAGATAAACCATTGCTTTAAAAATAGGATGCAGGAGGGCACAGTAATGGAGGCGGGAAGGGTGAACAAATGCAGTCATTGTATTCAGTATACACTATGTAAAAAATAAACTGCAACTTGTGGGCAATCATGGGAAGGGAAAAATTGGGGAAAGTGAAGAAAGGGGTGACCAAGAAGCATTATACTCATTACCTGACTTTTGTAATTGTAACCCCTCTGTGGAACTCCCTAATAATAACAAAAAATAGGATGCAGGTTATGCTTATTACTCATTTTAGGCTGAGTTTTAAATATCTGGTAATCAGAGTGGAAAATATCTGTCTAGTTGGGTGAGGAGATAGAAGGAAAAGGAGAAGCACCACTTGTAATTTTTGTCCTGTCTGATGTAGCATTTTCTGAAACACAATTTTGTAGCAGTCCTTTTTATGTTTTTATTTATCATTGTTTATTTTTTTCAGTTTTTTTCTAGCCAAACAACTGATTATTGTTAATTTTTTTTGTATTGCTATTTTCCTTAAAGAGTAGCAAGTAGTCTGTATCTACGTGGATCACTGCTTTTTGATAGATGTTTAAGTGTATTGGAATGTAATGGCCACCACAGAAAAATATTTAGTTGTTTTAAACATTCAATAATCTCCTGAGAGAAGAGTTTAATGCCTGAGAACAAGAATTGTAATTTAAAGACTTAGTAGGGAATATAATACAAGCTGCTTTTGGGGAATGGTGATATCCTCTTATCTCCTTGGTCTTAAAATTGCTTCCACCAGTCCTGTGGCTTTGTCTGATATGGCGGTGTTATATAATTTACTGCTCGGTGTTGCCTCATTCTGTTCTGAGACTGAGTGACCATGAAAGGAGCTCGAAACACCTGCCAACAGACAACATTCATGAATATCTAAATGATGAAGACCAGTGGGCATTTCTCTCTCTCTCTCTCTCTCTCAGGGATACTAGCTATCAGAATTCACAGAAACAGAAACTTTTCTTGTTTTTAGAGTTATGTTGTGATTATGAAATTGTACTTTTTTTAAACCATATATGAAGTGAATGATTTTGAAGGAAAAATTATATTATGGAATGGAAATCCAAATGGAATATTTATCTCTCTTTTTTTTTTTTTCTGCTTATGTGGTGCTGAGGAATCAAACTCAGGGCCTCATGCATGCAAGGCAAGCGCTCTACCACTGAGCTACCTTCCCAGCCCATTAAACAAACTTTTTTTTTTTGCTGGTTGTGAGGCTTGAACTCTGGGCCTGGGCACTGCCCCTCAGCTCTTCAGCTCAAGGCTAGCACTCTACCACTTGAATATTTATCTCTTCTGAGGAATGTTTTTGCTTAAACAGTTTAGAGTTCTGTGCCATTTAGTTTTATTTTTACAAAATGGTTTTGAAGACATAGCTCCTTTAGATTTCATGCTTGTAGCCTGGAATAGTGGTATATACCTGTAATTCCAGCAGTGGGGCAGGGAACAAGGAGGCTGAGGCAAGAGGACTATGAGTTTGAAACCAGCCTTTGCCACATGGCAAAACAACAAAACAACAACAAAACCCCCACCAAAACCATATTTGCTAAAATTGCACAAATTTTCATGACAAAATGCAAAGACTCACTATTAAATATATTGTAACCATCTTGCTAACCATTTTTATTATTTTTTAAGAGACCTAGTATCATTAGTCTTCAATTTCTTTGAAGAGACTTAACATTTTTATGTTTTATGCTACTTTTCAATTCATATTTCATATTATGAACAGGATAATAATTAGGTGAAGTAGATTTACACATTTTAAATGTACACTTACTTGCTATTTTAACATAGAAAAGACTTATTCATGCAAAGTCCTGCTCATTCACAATTTTGGCTTGAAAACAAAAGGGTCTCTCCCTTCCTTCCTTCCTTCCCTTCTTCCTTCCCTTTCTTTTCTTTTCCTTTCTTTCTTTCTTCCTTCCTTCCTTTCTTTCTCTCTCTCTCTCTTTCTTTCTTTCTGTCTTTCTTCTTGTCCTGGGGCTTGAACTCAGGGCCTGGGGACTGTCACTGAGCTTCTTTGCTCAAGGCTAGCACTCTACCACTTGAGCCACAGTGCCACTTCTGGCTTTTTTTGTGTATGTGGTACTGAGGAATTGAACCCAGGGCTTCATGCATGCTAGACATGCACTCTACTACTGAGCCACATTCCCAGCCCTGTTGAGTATTTTTCTGAGTGTGACATTGTTCTAAGTTCTTTACATATATTATTTCATCTCCACAGTAAAACTTACAAGGGATGTTTCATTGTTCTAAGCTCTTTGCATGTATTATTTCATCTCCATAGTAAAACTTACAAGGGATGTTACATTATCAACCTCGTTTTTCGGATAAGTCACAGAGAAGTAATTTGTCTAAGTGTTCAGTATGAGGGATAGCCAGCTTCTAATCCAGTACATGGCTCCATAACCAAAATTTCTACAGTATTGACAAAAATGTTTTACAAATCTTTATAACTACTTTTTTTTTGGCCAGTCCTGGGGCTTGAACTTAGGGCGTGGGCACTGTCTCTGAGCTTCTTTTGTTCTAGGCTAGCACTCTACCACTTGAGCCACAGCTTTACTTCTGGCTTTTTCTGTTTATGTGGTACTGAGGAATTGAACCCAGGGCTTCCTGCATGCACTCTACCACTAAGCCACATTCCCAACCCTATAACTACTTCTTTTAAATTAAAAAAAAGTTTTTTTAAATAGTGGTACAAAGAGGTTTCAATCCAATATTTCAATTTATGAGTACAGTGAATCTTGATCACTGTTACCCCTTCCATTTCTCTTATCTCTCATAGCCTCTCGTGTGTGTGTGTGTGTGTGTGTGTGTGTGTGTGTGTGTGTTGGTTCTGGTACTTTGAATTGTGATCCTTGGATAAATGTTTTTTTTTTTTTTTGGTGGGGGGTCCAGTTATGTGGCCTGAACTCTGGGCCTGGGCGCTATCCCTCAGCTCTTCAGCTCAAGGCTAGCGCTCTACCACTTGAGCCACAGCACCACTTCTGGCTTTTTTTCTTTTTGGTTATGTGGTGCTGAGGAATCGAACCCAGGGCCTCAGGCATGCAAGGCAAGCGCTCTACCACTGAGCCATCTTCCCAGCCCCTGAATTGTGATCCTCCGATCTTAACCTCCTAAGTAGTAAGCCACTGGTTCCTAGTTTGCTTTGTTTGTTCGTTTGTTTACTTATTGTACTGGCCCTGGGAACTATACTCAGCTTGGGCACTGTCCTTGAGTTTTTTTGCTCAGTGCTGTTTCTGGCTTTTTGGTGATGAATTGCAGAATAAGACTCTCAAGGACTTTCCTGCATGGGATGGCTTTGAAACGCATTTCTCAATCTTAGCCTCTTGAGTAGCTAAGATTACAGGCATGAGCTATTGTGTCCCAGTCTTCTTTTTCTTTTTAAGGCAGTGTCTTGTTGAGTATCCCTGGCTAGCCTCAAACTCAAGATCCTCTTGTCTCAGCTTCTTGAGTGCTAGGATTACAATTATGTGCACTATGCTCTGCTTTCTTTCTACCTTCTTTTTTTGTTGGTTGTGGGGCCTGAACTCTGGGCCTGGGTGCTGTCCCGCAGTTCTTCAGCTCAAGGCTAGTGCTTTACCTTTTGAGCCACAGCACCACTTCTGGCTTTTTTTTTTTCTGCTTATGTGGTGCTGAGAAATCGAACCCAGGCCTCATGCATGGGAGGTAAGCATTCTTCCACTGAGCCACCTTCCCAGCCCTCTTTCTACCTTCTTGACTACAGAGCTAATGGGAGTAATAGATGAAGTATATCTGCAGCTGTCATATCATTGTAATGCAGTCTATGTAGAGAATAAGACAGTCCTTCTGAATGTCATAGCCAGAACATTAAGGAAAGGTAAGTATAGAATGAGAAGGCTATTCATGGGGCTTCTGGTTTGTTCTTTGACTCTGTCTGCCCTGCTTCCTTTCTTGCAAAAGCAAAATAATGTAGTTAGAAGGAATGCTGTTATGTAATAGATTGACTAGTAGTCTTTCCAGCTAAGGTTAGTTTATCAGGTTTCTCCTCTTAGGTTTTTAGAACATCTGCAGTTTAAGAAGGGAATAGATATAGGGTAGATCTTTGAGTAGAAACACTGATATGTGCTAGACGTGAATTGTTTCCTTTAGTGATGAGCAACCTGAAGCCTTTCTCAGTAGCTTTGCAAGAATCCTAGATCCAGTTTCAAGAGCAACCTTTTAGAGCAGACAAAGCTGAGATGGCATGAGGGAGACAAAGCCTTTACTAAGGGCAGTCATCTTCTGAGATATGAGCAACTTTTTTAGATTCCTTGTTCCTGGATACTTGTGTTTTAGCTTGCCAAATGAAGCTGGCTTCAAAGGAGAGTGCCTTCAAGCTCTTCTAGGTTAGAACCTGCAGGTTCCAGAGACCAAGGTTCCAAAACAGTGTGGCCTTTTGGGAAGTTGGCTGCTTTGGTGCTGCTCCAGGATGCCCAGTAACATGGGCCCCCAGCCCAGCCATAGCATGGAGGACACTCATCACCACCCACTAGTACCTGGTCTTCAGAGTTGTATTAAATGAACTGAAATAATTCTAGACCTTGGTTCATCCTTTATGGTTTGAGAAACAAGGGGTTTGTTGGGAGAATTGAGTGAGACCAAAGAACAAAAGACCAGAATACTACCTCTCACACACAGAATATTGCTGTGCTAATTTCTCATTTTATTCCTTTAAGGGAAATCTAATGTGCGTGCGTGTGTGCGTATGTGTGTGTGTGTGTGTGTGTGTGTGTGTGGTGTGTATGTGTGCTGGTACTGGGGCTTGAACTCAGGGCCTTAGCTTTTTCAGTCAAGTTTGGTGCTCTACCACTTGAGCCACAATGCCGCTTCTAGCTCTTTGCTAGTTAACTGGAGATAAACTCCCAAGGACTTTCCTGCTTGATCTGGCTTTGACCCTTGATCCCCAGAGCTCTGCTGAGCTGCCTGAGCTGCTAGCGTCTAATTGGGATTCTAGCTCTTAAGTCTATGAAATTTAAGAAATCTATTTTCTCCCTGAACGAAAATAAATTAGGCTCATACACATCTTTTCTCTCAGCTGACCCTTTAATAGAAAGGTTCCTGTTGCTAATTTTTGTCTTTATGGTTTATGATGGACTAAGCTGATGTGTTTGCACACAGACAGTAGACTATTGGGAAATCACACCAGTTCATCTGTGCTACTGATGAATGCATTCCTTTTTTTTTTTTGGTCAGTCATGGGTCTTGAACTCTGGTCTTGGGCGCTGTCCCTGTACTCTCTAGCTCAAGGCGAGTGCTCTACTGCTTGAGCCACAATGCCACTTTGGGTTTTCTAGTGGTTTATTGGAGATAAGAGTCTCACAGACTTTCTTGCCTGGGCTGGCTTTGAACCTCAATCCTCAGATCTCAGCCTCCTGAGTAGCTAGGATTACAGGCGTGAGCCACCTGCGCCCGGCTGATTGAGTGCTGGTTGAGTGCATTCTTAGAATCATAGTCTAACCTGGATTTGGCCAAGTTTTATGGGGATTTAAATGTGTTAAATCTTTACAAGCTGTGTTTCTATCTCTCTGTGTGTGTCTTTTTATAAACTGGTCTATTTCTAGTCAAATGTTTTAAAACATAACCTTTTAAAATCTTGCCTTGCAAATATAATAAGAGAGCAACGTTGCAGGCCCCATAGCAAACAATTACTAGTTAGCTGATCTAAGTCACAATTGTGTCAACTGGCCATAATAGAGAACATTTGAAACAGAGTAGGTTTATTAAAATAGGGAAATTTTTTTTATTACCAGTGGCTGCTGATAATACGTTAATAATGAATGGCTAGTATTTTAAAAATGAGAATAAGCACTGAACATTCAGCTTTAGGATACTCACAACACATCCTGGTAGTATCTTAATTAAAAGGCACGTTCTGTTAGGATGACTCATTTTGTGGATGCTGTGACACCCTGAAGGAAGTTGCTTCCATTCATAAACAAGTTTCTCATCATATTTGCTTTGGTTAGGCTGATTAAATGAACTAGAGATGGATTTTTTTTCTTTTTTGTCGGTTGTGGGGTTTAAACTCTGGATTTGGGTGCTGTCCCTCAGCTCTTCAGCTCAAGGCAAGTGCTCTACTACTTGAGCCACAGTGCCACTTCTGGTTTTCTAGTGGTTTATTGGAGATAAGAGTCTCACGGACTTTCCTGCCTGGCTGCCTTTGAACTGCAATCTTCAAATCTCAGCCTCCTGAGTAGCTAGGATTACAGGCGTGAGCCACCGGCACCTGAACTCAGGGCCTGCTCTGTCCTGAGCCTCTCTTTGCTCAAGGCTAGTGCTCTGCCACTTGAGCCAAAGTGGCACTTCCGCCTTTTTCTGTTTATGTGGTGCTGAGGAATTGAACCCAGGGCTTCATGCATGCTAGTCGAGCACTCTACTACTAAGCCAACATTCCCAGCCCATAGAGATAGATTTTAAGACATTGCTCCTCCTCCTCCTCCCCCTCCTCCTCTCCCCCTCCTCTTCTTCTTCTCTTCCTCCTCTCCTCTTCCTCTCCTCCTCCTCCTCTTCTCCTCCTCCTCCTCTTCCTCCTCCTCTTCCTCTTTTGTGAAAATACCGGTTACAATTACATGGGCAAGGTAATGAGTACATTTCTCATCAGGCATTGTTGCCTCTTCCTTTGTTTCTCCTTCCCATTCCTTCCCATCACCCCCACACCCAAGACATTGCTTCTTATTTAAAGTTATTTCATTTTAATTTCAGCTTCTTCAACTTTACCCTTGCATTTCTTTAACTTGATAATGGGATATTTAAAATTACACTAATTTTCTTTAGACATCTTATTCTTTGAAATAGGTTTTCACTTTCTTTTAAATTACACTGAATTTCAAATTTCCCACTTTTTGCAATGTCAGTGTATATGATTTGAGACAGTTATAACATCTAGTTGCAACATTAGAGGGTTTTTTTTGGTTAGAGACTTGAACTTTGTACCTGAAACTTTCACTCATTGACTAACCCTATACGAACTGAGCCATGCCTCCAGCCTCTAGAATTTTTTTGTTAGTTGTAAGGCTTGAACTCATGGCCTGGGAGCTATCTTGAGCTCTTTTGCTCAAGGCTAGCACTCTAGCACTTTGAGCCACAGCTCCACCTCTGGTTTTCTGGTGGTTAATTGGAGATGAGTCTCACAAACTTTCCTACCTGGCCTGGTGATTATATATATCATTTATAAGTATGGAAATCCCTGAAAAACACTTGACCAGTATAATACTATCTCTTGTATACCTTTCTTTGATCTTACTAGAAACAACACTTTTTTTTTTCCCCAGTAGTGGGGCTTGAACTCTGGGCCTGGGCGCTGTCCCTCAGCTCTTTAGCTCAAGGCGAGCACTGTACCTACCACTTGAGCCACAGCCACTTCCGGTTTTCTGGTGGTTTATTAGATATAAAATCTCACGGACTTTTCCTGCCCAGGCTGGCTTTGAACTCCAAACCTCAGATCTTACCCTCCTGAGTAGCTAGGATTAGAGGTATGAGCCACCAGTGCCCGGCTAAAAACAACACTTTATACAGTACCTTTATTCTAATTGGATGGTCACAAAAATACAAATTTTGTGAGAATAGGTTTTACCTGATTGGTCAAGCTGTAAGATACATTACAACTTTTCCTCTTCCCCTCATGCCTCAGAACCCCAAGCTGTGCTCCTTGTTTCATAAGAAAACAGTTCTTACTGGAAGCCAAGAAAATGGCAAATCCTTGACCTGATGAGGACCTATAGTGGCAGAATGTGTAAGCAATATTAGATGCAAGAGAGTAAATTAGTTTTGAATGAGGTTTTCAGGAAGAACTAAGTAATTATTTAAACACCAGCTGGGAGAAGATTACATCTAGTTAATGATGGAAGTGCTAATTTTATGAATTTCTGTTAATAGCTCTAAAACGAGGAGAAGAAAATATTAATTCTTAGCTCATCTGTGTTTTGATTTACCTCTCAGAATTTCATGTCTGAAAATAACACCGAAGTTTAGCTTTTGGTAGACAGAAGATAGGGGATATTTCCAAACACATTCCTGTGTTTCTTGGTGATGCATTATGAATTCATTATTGAAGAGTTTTAAATCCTTACTTGAAATAGTTATATTTCAGTTGCTTAAGGTTGAAAAGTATATATTTTCCTCAGCCTCTCCCTTGGATGAAGTCCTACTTATATCATCTGACCTTTCATAAAAGTTTCTTAGTCTTCTTCTGTCTTTTTGGGCCTTTTTTTGAGATGTGAGAGGACTTTATTTTTCATATATAAAGAGAATTTAAGTTTTTATTTGGATATTGTAGTTTGAGGAGGCATTGTAAAACAACAAAAAAAGCAATTTCTAATTTTCTTCATGATGATTAAAATGTTGTGGTTAGGGGAAGGGATGATATGGGGAAACAAAGGAGGAGGCTACAATGCTTGATAAGAAATGTACTCACTATCTTGCCCATGTAATTGTAACCCCTCTGTATGGTATTTTCACAATAATAATAATAAAACTAAAAAAAAAGTTGTGGTCCACTTACTCTTTTTTTTTGGCCAGTCCTGTGGCTTGAACTCAGGGCCTGGCTGCTGTCCCTGAGCTTCTTTTTGCTAAAGGCTAGCACTCTATTACTTGAGCCACAGCTTCCCCATTTACTACATTATAATTATTTCTGTCTATGTATCTGAGCGTGTGTGTGTGTGTGTGTGTGTGTGTGTGTGCATGTGTGCATGCATGTGTTAGTGTCAGTATGTGTGTCAGTGCTGGGGTCTCCTACTATTGCTTGGGTTCCTCCCTGACTTCCCTCTCCCAAGGCTGGCACTTCACTGCTTGAACTGAACCTCTATTTCAACCTTTTTACTGGTTAATTGGAGATGAAAG